AGCAACAACAAGGAAGACCTCCTAAAAGAATTTCAAAAAACAAGCATAGTCGACACGAGCCAAACAAAAAGCTTGCAAGAGCTGAAAAATCCTAAGATATATCAAATAAAAGCATGAATGGTGCTCCTACCCTCCACTTTGGAATAGATGCTTCGAGCAAGTGCTTATTGATTGCATTCTCAACGAGTCTATTCTCAATGGGCTTCATGGTGAGCATCCATTAGATGAAGATAACTATATCTGCAACTTCATCATCGATTCATACTTGCAACTTGTGGTAGACACAACTCATCCCACAGACGTTTCTCAGAGTTTTTAGAATGGGAGAAATTCGAAAAAGGCGTCGGGAAAAAGCAAGCCAAAGAGTTACTCAAAGGTAAAACAAAGATTTTAGATCAAGATTTAGTGTTCATCCCTTGTAACTGTCTGAACTCCAAACACTGGTTCCTTCTTGTGGTGCTCCCCAAAGAAAAGAAAGTTGTCATACTTGACAGCATACCACCCAGCCTTTTTGTGAAACCTTCACATCAGCAAGCTGTTACAAAAGTGTGTTCTGTTTTTAAAGAGCTTGACCCATCTATTGATCTAAAGGAATGGGACTTTAGCTGCAATGGCCCTGGGGAAATCGTTGAACAAAAGAACTCATTTGATTGTGGTGTTCTCGTCTGCCTGTATGCTCGTTCTTTGGTACAGAAGTGTCCACTTGCAAGTACAGCTACGGTTGGTAATTTTCGCGAGCACATGCTCTTAGAGCTGCATGAAAGACGTCTCTGCGATCCATACAGTGATGAATTCGAGATTGGATGCTACTATGCCATAGAGTGCGAGAAGTCTTATTATATAGGTCGAGTCATCAAGTGCGACGAGGGTAGTAATTACATACAGCTGAAGTTCATGTACACCGCCGGCGCAAAAGTGTTTGACTGGCCAACAAGGGATGACATTGATATGTGCCATCGGTCTTGTGTTATTTATGGCAAGATGAAAAAAATCTATGGTTCTCGCCCATTCAAATTCCCTCAGCTCGCATGACGACTTCACACCGATCTAAATGTGTCTCCATAAATTAACGATTTACCCCCCGCGAACCACACGAAGAAGCGGTCTGCGGGGGGTGTTTATGTAAATCACTATCACGTTGCCATGGAACTAACAAATAAAACCTTGCAGTGAGAGTCTCTTCTCACACCAGTTTTATTAAGTTTATCAATCAATCGTTCTGCAAATTACTGCTTTACAAAATCATTTACGAAGGAGAAGCCCTCCGAATTAGAATTCAGAGTCTAATAAGCCATTACACTAAAGTACGATTGAAAAAAACAAAAAAACAAACATATTCGCGTCGTTTGCCATCAGAAAATTGAGTTTCCACATCGCATTAAACTAGTGTTTTCATGGGAAGCAAAACTAGCGAGTTATCTCAGTGATTGTTTCGCTTCCCTTCTATGATCGAAACAAACTAAAATATTCGCGACGAATTGCCATCGAAAGTTTTTAAACTTAAAAGTTTCGACCGACATCATTGTTGACAATCTAGAAGGATTTGGCAAACTTTCCACACGCTGTCTTCATCAAGCGTTTCAGCTCGATAACTTTGTTTTGATGTAATGAAACATATTTGTCGTGAAATTTAATACTTCGATGAAGTCATGTATGAAGTGTCTTGATTTGAATTACGCGCTCGAATTTGACAGCTGTGTTTACACTGTTGACTTGACAACCGTTAGACGATAAAACCGGTTTTATCTCGTTCTTCGCATTGTGCATGCGCTGAATTTATAATTAGAACTGTTCACAATGACACACTTAGATCGGCGTGAAGTTGTAATGCGACGAGCTTGACCGACTGTATTAAATCATCAAGAAGAGCAGGAAGCAAGTGTGACGTAATTCTTGTTTGTTTGTTGTAGCTTTTTTTAACTCTTACTTACAAGCTTTATTATTATTATAGAATACACGATACATGTACCATTTATATCCATCATATATAACATGACAAAAAGTGGTTTCATCATGGACGGTGGCCAAAATTTATTTCCTTCATGTAGATACTGTTAAGTGAAAGATATGTKTAAAATTAAATGAAAAAAAATATCGGTAGAATGTTTGGGATCCTTGTTGGTATTTGTTAATAAGTCACAGTGTACGTCCAAGCCTACCCAGCATAACTGGTCACCCTGTGCCTATACCAGATCACGTGATAAATTCCAAGATGGCGTAAAGTGAGACATAAAGCGCTCGAGAACTGAAAACGTCTAAAAAAATCTTTCCTTTGGTTAGTACTGCCTTTGATATTTCGTAAGTAAAGATAAAAACGTAGTTTTGCATAAAAAAAAACCCAATAACCTAAAAATATGTAAAATTTCCAAGATTTTACACTTTCCTGTTATGACGTCATCCCGCATAATTTTCCGCATAATTTACCCTTTTCTCCGCATAATATGGGGAAAAAATTCCACATAATTTTGATTTTTTTCGCGCATAATTCCGACATGCCTGTATAAAGCAAAGTTCAACAAAATATTTAGCCATGCTTAAAAGTTGTTTTGGTATAATCTAGTTGTCCTATCCAGCAATACGATGAACTATACTGAGTATTGTACATAGCTAAATCTAAGGCTTATTGTTTATTGCAAAAGTTCTACTGAACATTTGCTTTCCTTAGGTGTAAGTGTGGAGCATGTGGTGACAATTTGCTCTCAGATGCAAGGGAGTATAGATGCTGTCAGGAAATCCTGTCAGCATCTGGAAAACTTGTCTGAAGTAGTTGTGGCAGCTTGCATAACAGGACATCCTGATTTCAGTGCCATGACAAATACCACGGTACTGGAAAAGATTTGTCCTTTACTTAGAGACAAGCATGGTTGCTGTTACAAATTCCCTGCTCATGGATCACGGACAGCTAAAAATGAGTAAGATTTATATTTGTTTGAAAGCATTGATTTAGGTCATTCATGTGTTTCACTAAGTCATTTCAATTTCTTTAGTCAATGTAATCTTCATATAGTATTTTATTTTATAGTTATTTACTAATTTGACCAAATTCAATACTTTTACAGAGCTACTGGTCCAGGAATTATTTGCAATTCAATAAATATAAATCAGCTTATGGTTTAAAAGAATTACCATCGACTGAATTCAAAGCTTATTTGCATTGATACAATTATTAACCCATCTGAGGCAATAGCTTTTATCCACATTGAATCATTCTTGATTTTCATATGCCCGCAATAGCTTTGTGTGTCACAACTTGACAATCAAATAATTAAAAATATAGACTTTTTAGATCTTTTAGTAGTGTGTGCATAGTGAGCTCTTACATGTATTCCCTCTTTTACTTACAGTATTTAATATTGTTTTTCTCTTTTTCATTTCAGGTCATTGTGTGCCTCAGGTTACAGGTTTTTAGCAAGGTGGATTTTTGGTCCCCTTGGGTGGGATAATGCAAGGCCTCTACCTGCTTGCATTTACACTAAGTTGAGGAGAAGTTTCCCTACCCCTGAAGCAAGGGGATATTCCTATGAAACTATATATATATACATGATGTACAATGTTATAATAATGATTTCAAATTAATAACTTCGTAATAAAAGATACAAGAAATTTCAATAGAGTGTTGTCTATCATCATCAGAATCTGAAAACTAAAGTGAATATATTACCATTTGGAAAAAACTTAGTTTCCTGAAGCTTTCGTTTCCTGTACTTCTCCACAGCCACCTTTCTTGAGCACTTCTCTTGAAACTGTGAATTAAGGGGAGCAGGAGCAGGAACCTTTTCCTTGTACCTGCCCAATATTGCAGCGTTTTCTTCCACAGAAGAGGTGAACATGATTTTTTTTACTTCATCCACATAATCTAAAAAGGAAATTGGTATTCAATTACTACAAAGTTTGTGTGCAGCTGTTRCATACAGGACAATATTATATAGTGAAGCCCTACAAGTAAGAACCTACAACAGAAGCATGTATCTCGGTGATTTTCAAGGGGTCCGGATTTCATGATAATAGTTTGAGATAAGTCAATACATATACAGGTTATATGTTATATCATTTAGAATTTTTAAAACATGTATGCCTGCTTACRATATGAAGGGGGAGCACTGATTTCTCTTACAACTTCATCCCCGAACYTATACTTTGGATATGTTACTTGCAAGTATTCATTCCCTTGCTTGTCATGTTTGGCTGACCTAAGTAGGTTTTCATTAAAATGCAGTGTCTCTAAATCATGTCTGAAATTTTAGAAGAAATAAATTATTAGATAAATAAATAGCTAAACATAAAAATATCTTTTAATAATATTTACTGTGTCAGGATCTAAAAATTCCTCACCTACAGTAA